CTACGGGCATCCAAATATATCACCCTCAAAAACAAATCGACGGTAAGAATATGATCGAAGTCTTCAATACTTGAAAGGGAGAAAGTAAATGAAGATCATTCATATGTTGTAGCTTTTCGAAGAATTCCGTTAAACCTTTACCCATATTTTTTTTTCGCTTAAGGGATTACTAACTATTGTGGAAGAAATAACGGTGGATGTTCTTATCTGTGCGTAGCTTCCCCTAAAAGGGGCGATAAATCTGTTAAATATTCGTGTCTCTGTCCAACAAACTCGTTCTTAATGCAAGATGGGCGTACATGCGAGGGTTCAACAAGGAATCCACCGACTCCACCTCCTGCAACAATAGGTACAGTATAGCATTATTATTCCTATTGTTATTATCATTATTATTATTATTATTATTATTATTATTATTATTATTATTATTATTATTATTATTATTATTATTATTATTATTATTATTATTATTATTATTAGCAAAAAAAATCAAACTTTTGGCACTTCGATTTCGAAATAGACTGCGATGATGGGTCTGACTACATAAAATCAGTTACATAATTTTTTTCACATAATACATTTTCAAGAGACAGCACAAGCTTTAAAGTTGTTGTATGCTTGCTGTCTAATACGAAGGTTAAATTATATTTTTTTTAAAAACAGGGTTAGTTGGGACTTCTCTCATCAATTGTAACTTCAGTATTACTGTACTACTATATGACACAGTAAGCCATGGTCGCCTAACGTAATTACTTTTTACATTAATAATGTTGCCTATACCTAACCACCTTTATGCCCGACGTCTTAGTAACATCAACATACTTCAAAATACCAAACGTGATATTACCCTTTAGTCTGTCAAAAATGATGGATGTACTAATTTTGTAAGCCTATGTCAATACTTTAGTGTAGACATTTTCAGTAAAAAATAATATTTTTTTTATTTCTCGCCTCTAACAATCAATTTCATTTTTACTTTTAGATTTGAGTCCGTGCCATCCGAACCCATGTGTGAATGGTGTCTGCATATATAACATTTTCACAAAACTTTTCTACGGAGGATACTTGTGTAAGTGTGACAGTGGATACTCTGGCAAGCATTGTGAGTAAAGGTACGTCTTTAGGTTTACCTACTCTATTATTTATCTTACCGCAGCAGTGGCGTATCTAGAGGGGTGTGCAAGCCCCTCATGAAATTACTCACGCCCCCAACCCCTCCCCTCCTAAAAAAAAAAAAAAAAACACGGCCAGGTAGTTAAAAATCACCTTATTTTTATAC